TATAGTGATGCATATTGTTCATCAAAGTACAGATACATACACGGTAAATAACAGTGAGCTACCTGTTGTCCAGGCACACAATGACTTGGAAGTCATTAGCCAAGACCAGTTACTTGTCTGATGACTATCGACTTTTCCATTGAACCATCAACTGTGGAACTCACTACCTCAACATGCGATTGAAGCTCTTTCTTTTGAGGCGTTTACAAAAAAGCTGGATAGACTGAGAGATCACCATTTGCAGGACTAATACAAACGATCTAGCCTCTCATCCTTTCCAAATTAATTTCAAGTAACAACCGCTTTACAAACATGAAGTTTAGTTCTAACTTGATTTGCATTTCTCAAAAGTTTGCTGTGTCCTTACGCAACAAAAGTACCATTTTTGATCTTAAGAATCTATCCTAAGCTTTACGTTTGGCAAACTACTTCTCTTTTTGAGTTTTGCCCAAGTTCATATTTAACTGTGATTTTGCTTCAGCTAAATATTCGGGTTTTTTATTTTTCATGCAAAGGCTAGTTCCTGTTTATCCTAACCTTTCGTACCCACCCATTTTTATCCATATTTAGCAAACTGTGTTTTTTTAACGGTCCTAGACTTTTGCTATGATCTATAAAGAAACTTACCTCACTATAGTAGTGGAGAATTCATGCAAGCGACGTGTATGCCGTTTTTGTCACCTCTGGTATGCAACATGACAGGAGTTGGTTCCATGAAGCATGCACAGACCTCACAGTAACTGCTTACAACAGACTCAGTAAGTCGGATCACAGGTGGGTATGTGTCGCGTGTAACATGAATGCTGAGGATTTGCTGAGCAACACCATCATTCTCTTGACGGGTCTGAGGAATAATTTGTCAGCAAACCTGAAAACAGGTAGTCCTAAAACTGGTTAACAAACAAAAATACACAATAAAAACAAGAAGATGAACCTCAACAACACTACTCATTTGGATTTCTTACCACACACGATCTTATGTGGTACAAGGCAGTCTGTTCGTCAAATGGTCCCTAAAATCTACAAGCAACCTACAATCATCAAGGACCGCACTCTTCGTTTGCTAAAACGCAGAAGGCACTGTTGGGCGCAATACAAATAAATTGGTAACAAATGCGCATACAGACAATACAAACAAGTAAGGAAATTATGTATAATTATGGTCTTCTATGATATTATTACTGCTTTAATAACATACTTAATCGTAAAATTGTTGATTTGTCATTGTGTATCTGCCTAATCTGTAAGACCTTACGTTGATGTAACATCTTTATTTACCCTGCCTCATTCGTATTGTAACAATTATCAATACATGATGAAGAACACATCTAGGCTGAAGATCGAACAATATATTTAATATTGATAAAAGACTGTTAAATAAAAAGGACCATGCCCGCAAGGTCGAGCTATTCCATCCGAATTAACTGACTTAATTCTTTCCTCCTTCTCCATCGTTGGGTATTTCTCTGCGTTAAATGTTGAATATCTGTTTTCCCAGTTGTCTCATGTTTAGATTTCAGGTTTGTGTGGTTAGGGCCCAACGCCACTACGCATATGCACAAAGTCAATAAGAGAAGACAGGCTTCAGTACCAAATAAAACATATTGTTAAATTTACCTCCGATCTGAAAAGCTTATTCCGTTATTCAGTCTCTCCTCGACAAGCGAAAACTAGAGTTTCCCGACCTCTATGTCCTAATGGCCCGACCAGCAACGACGATGATGCTGCTAACATTCTGGCTGGACAGTACTCTATAACATTTTAACCGACATACACTAACTTTGTTGATGGAAGCTTCATCCGCAACTGCACAGGACTTTCTAAAGTGAACCTGAGCGCTGACTTAATGTCCCGGAAACTGCAGCACTTAAAAAATACACTTCTGCTCCGGACAGTGTTCACTCTGCTAGACTAAGGGAAGCAGCTTCAATCTTGACAACACCGCTTAAAGTGATGTTCTCACACTCGCTAAGCCGAGGTACATTACTGGAAATTTAGGATCTGGCTCATGCCCCACTAATTTTCAAAGGAGGTCGACGAAGAGAACCTTAGAGCTACCGACCGGTGGCTCTTCTCCCTATAACTTCAAAAATTATCGAGTCCCTGATATGTGACGGTATACATGACTACTTATTATACTTAAACTACTTTTCACCCCAAAAGTATGGTTTCAAGAAGGAGTATTCATAAAAGCCTGATAGTAGGCGATGTACATAAACAGGGCAAACTTAGAAGTAGAGTCATCAATAACGCCGTTCCATTGCAAACCGTTAGAAACATTGATTGGATTAGCTTCATTTAAATACATTGGAGATCCCACAAGATATGAATTAAGAAGCTCCTCTTCTCTTTTGGATTCAGTCTTCACACACGGTGATGACGTCTGTCGAATGACCTTCCTTCCATTACTATGGAGAAGCGGTCATGAAGTCATATTATTCAAATTAATGGCTGAACTTGCCTGTCAAACAGTTGCACCCGCCCGTCCTGGTATATGGGAGGCAGATATGAAGGCCGTCAACTCCGCATCCGCCTTGGCACAGCAGGTAAGATGGAACGCTACAGGTCGGTGAGAAACAAGTGTAGAATTAAAATTCGGGAAGCTCAGAGAAAATATGAAATGCAATTGGCACAATCTGCACTCAAGCAATCTAACAGAATATTCTCACACATAAACTACAGAACACGGATGCATCATTGGACTCCCAACCTAATTAAAGTGAATCTGAAATGATAGAGGGAGATCAGGACAAAGCAGAGGCTATGGCTAACTATTTTGGGGCAGTTTTCACTCAGAAACCTCCTTTGGACAAAGAACCAGACTAAAATAAAGATTCAACATACCACCTGCTCACCGTGGACCATGATCAAGACGATGTGCTTAAGGTTCTTAGCACCTCAAACATGGAAAGTCGGCAGGACCAGATGATCTACACCTCGAAATCCTAAGATATATTGCACCCCATTGACTGTAATATTCAATATGTCACTTGACCAATGTGCGTTACCTATGAACTGGAAGGATGTAATCGTCACTCCCATACATAAAACAGGACCAAGACAAGTTCCATCGAACTACACACCTGTAAGCCTCACCAGTGTTGTAGTTAAAATACTGGAAAGAATAGTCAAACGGACCATAATAGCATTTATGGATACCAATGATTTGCTAAACAGAGAACGACATGGTTTCAGAAAAAGTTTGTCATCAACAACGAACCTCCTTATAGCGAGGGAATATTGGACGAAGACGCTAGTGAACGAAGACTCAGTGAGTGTTGTCTACACAGAATTCAGTAAGGCATTCGACAAGATGCCAAAAAATAGACTGCTGCTGAAGTTAGGAAGTCTTGGTAATGAGTTCCAAATGTTCCACCTGGAAACCAGTATTTAGTATAATACATCAAGGTTTTGTCCTAGGTCCCTTACTTTTTACATTGTATGTAAATGATCGCCCGATTATAGAACATTCCCCAATGTTATTATACGCTGACGATATAAAACTCTGGCCAGTAATTACGGTAGACGCAGATGCATTCTCACTTAAATAATATGATTAACTGGTCTAAGGAATGGCTGATGCCTATTAACGCGACAAAGTGTGTCCACGTGAACTTTGGGGATACAAAGGTTAGTAGATACAGCATAGGGATGAAGATGCCACAAATATTTGGAGTTTGACAACACTTTAACCAGTAACACCTTCTAATATGAAGCGTAACAACCAAGTGAAATCAAAAGACAGAAGTGAGGAGATCGAAGACATATTTGATAACCTATCAATATATCGAGGATCGTTTGAACTAATCTGGCTAGCGATTGCGGCAGGTGTTGAGTACGGCGTTCCCACACGTGATCTGGTGCGGATGCTTGACAGAGCGCCTCCAGCTAGATGAGTCCATTAGAACTGTGGTCAACATCCAATTTACAGAGCTATTTATTTTGGGGATTTATTTACCGCCACAGGGGAAGTGCCTGTACCCGTGGTCTGGTTTCGTAAGGATCTTGTGGTGACAGTGAGTCATGATCTTAAGACAACGGCACATTGTCGGGAGGTTGCAGCTAAGGTGTTTAGAACCCCCGTGGGCTTTAAAACGAACATTCACTATGTTCATTACAGTATTCACAACCTTAGTGAGAACTAAGATTGAGAACTGCATTCAGGCTACATGCCCTTGTTTAAAAGGTGACTCATATATCCTGGAAAAAATAAAGAGGACAGTTACCCACGCAATCCCAGAACTCCAGGGTTTATCATAAAAAGAGAGGCTTGAAAAGCTGGACCTTTTTACTCTGTGCTATCACAGAGTAAGGCTAGATCTAATTTTGATGTATAGAATACTAAGAAATGATTTTGGACCTAATATATTTTCTCTTTTTCCCCCACGAGATCTGGACATCTTGGAGAATATTTCAGGCTAGTAGAAAAGCCAACAACGAACAAAATACCCATGGTATACTGGTTTTCACACCGAGTCATCAATACTTGGAACCTGTTGCCCGAAGCAGTGGTATCCTCACCTTCAATTGACTCATTCAATTGTAGACAAGATATTCACAGAAGCATGCTAGAAAAGGAATAACATAGGCTATAGGTCTTCTATCCTTACTACATGAATCTGAATCTGAGTCCTTTAAGAGAAAACTTGATACATTTTTAAGGACTAAGGATAGTATCTTACATGATTTACCAATTTTTCCTCTTTTATCGATAATATACCTAGGTTCCTGCCTAGAGGTATTGGTGATCCACTGCTATTAGACACGTAAACCCGATAAGCGAAAGGTTCTTCTATTCCGTTCACAACCATTTGAACCATTTGAATGCCAAAACTGGCTTTACTCACTTCAACTCTGCGGAATATAACTGATCTATTGCAATGACCAGACGTTGGATTTTAAGTTTTTGTATGGATAACAAATAACGTGTAGTTATCTTGTTTTGTATATCAAATTCGAGTTTTGCATTCCATAGTTTGAATTTAGGGAAAACCAAGTCTAAAACGCTCTCGCTTCAAAGTCAAGCGCTATCTCGCCATGGCCGGCGTATATACGTTGTTAGCAGTTCGCCGGCTATTTAGTAGAAATGTCGTTTTAAGACATTTGAATGCTACTAAATCTGTTCCATGTTCAAGTGCCAGATGTATTTCAACGGTTGAAAGCACCCAGAAAATTTACAAACCAAATTTGGCTCTACGCGTTCCTGATGATACTGACTTGACTGATATAGAAAGATTTCTGCGCAAACAAAGGATTAAAGGTGCTTTGTACAGCTGCGACGAAAATGAGCAGGTTACAGAACGGTTTTGGGGTCGGATTCTAAAAGGTACAGTACTTGTTATATTCATGATAAAGCAGCTGGGGATATGGACTTAGTCGAGAGATATCTAAATATGAAAGTCAAATTAGGACTCCATGTTGACCCGGAGAAAGTTTTAAAAGATCTGAAAGATGCTGGATTGACGCCGAACTCCGTAGGTTCAGTTTATCAAGTAATGTTGCTTAGTGGGTATACGCCTCCTTTATATGTCAAAGTTGTGCTGTCGGAGATATGAATCAAGCAAAGTACCATGTCATTATATAACATTAATTTTCAGCTTTTTCTTGCGTATGCTCCGAGATGCTGGGTTCAAGCCCAATCGTTACATCTTTTCTCAGATTCTACACGGCTACGTAAAAGCAGGGTAAGTGTTCACTTTACACGGTATTTAGCCATGATTAGCCTTAAATTATATAGATAGTGTTTTGTGCTCTACTTATGTTATCACGTGTCCACTTTTCGGTGTTCACTGTACCTCCTCTTAAGTCCAGAGTCCCGAAACCTTTTATCATTACATATCTTCTCTACATCTGATAGTGCTGTCGTTGCTCTAAAATTTGCCTGAATAATATAATACCTCTACGGTAACATGGTGTAACAACCCAAACTAGTGTATATGTGACGTATTACGTTATATGTGGCTGATTATAGATTAAGAATTTAGGTAGTCAGCCAGCCTGTGATAATGATTAAAATAGTCACTTTACAATATCCAGTTATTTTATCTTATGGTAAGCTGCGTACTGGTATGAGTGACTTAAGTAAATGCTATGGTACCCTTCCTGATCAGAAGTTTGTAGTTGGTCATTACTGCGGTTGTTTTCTATGAACTGCAGTTACGCTATCAGATCTCTACAACCCCACAATCTGATTTCTCGTTCGAGTGCCTCATGAAGAACTATTCCATGGCGCTGGTGTTCGGAGAGTAGCATCTCTCTTCATGTCTAACAGCGCTGCAGTTCGTGTTCACGATCTAATCTCTTCGTCACTCGATAATTCATTGTCAGCATTTTCGCGTGGCTTCATCATCATGCGCCTCCCAATGTTGACTATCCGAGTCCACAAAGTGTTATTCCTGGTCTCCTGAAACCACTCTCTGAACTAAGTGTTGAAGCTTTCAGTATTTGAACCTCATATCAAATAGACATCAGGTTTACTTAACCATGTTTTCTATTTCGTGCTCTGTGTTAATTGACTGGTCCTACATCAATATTGTTGACGAAACTACTATCCTGTACGTTTTCGTGCCACATTAGTTTAATAGATGAAATTCTTTGTTTTTAACCCTACATAATCAGCCTAACCACAGTTTCTATCTATTTTTAGTCAATAAACATTGATTAGGATATCCAAACTGAGTATTTTATCATTAACAAAGATCTTAAAAGTGTATTTAAGTCCTACTAAGTGTTCATACTGAATAGTTTACTAACAATTCCAGGTTGAACATTGGTTGTGACCCTAAATTCCTGTGCGGCTGAGGTCTCAGTCAGTCGGTAACAACGTGGAACTTCGTACGTACGTACATCAGTTCGAGTTGGCATACCACATGAGCACAGAGATTCAGTTATCGATTCAAACCCCGTAGTGGTAGAGGTAGTGAAAGTATAAGTAGTGATAGGGAACATTAAGGTTTGATGTTATTTAAGGAGTTTAATCCAGTGGAAGATATTTGGAAATAAAATAAAGAACATGAAGAATTCAGAAGATTAGAGTTTGAGAGAACACAAAGAGTGGATGCACCTGCGCTGTCGCAAACGATTTTCAGCGGCTGAGGTCTACTGTTTCCGAAACATACTTTCCGGATTCAGTCGTGGTCATTCAATCCAATTCTTGGTGCAATGTGTTCTTTTTCCAACTCCCTTTTTTAGGATTACAAGTTGGCTTACACCCTGATGGATTGTAATAAACTTTATAAATTGTGTCTCACCCACCTCTAGCATGTTCTAATTTCGTCGGGGTGTTGGTTCGGTTTCTGCCACATAAGTGATGTACGGCTTTCCAGACTTATCAAAGGAGGTATTAAAATTTTTTTTAGTTAGTGTGACTAAGTTTGTAAGGAGTGAAATTAATTAGATTGAGTCATGTATGTAAGTACAAACTATCTATTCGTAGTTTGTGTGATTATTAGAACTTTGGGTGACCTAATTCAAAATCTTTCGCAATAATCCAGGCTCATTCACTTTTTTTCTTAAATTGTGGGCACATAGTTATCTTTCATTGGTAAAAACTAACTTTTTTTGTAATTTACCGATGACATTAGAAGTTGGTTTTTATGATGTGGCAGCACAGTAATTTGGTAATCAGCCTCAAGTATATTATCCAATCCATACCATCAGAATGTATATTATTTTACAAGATCAACGGATCGTTTGCTCAAATGCACTTAGAAATAATGATAAAAACGAGTCAGCTTTAATGATGGTTCTTAAGCAGTTAAGTTTTGTCTATGTTTGTTTATAGCAAGAGCCATTGTTGTCGATCCGGATCATTTTAGCTTTATGTTGATATTCAGTTGTCCGTAAAAGTCTAAGTGTGTGCGCAGTCATGCTACATCATGATATTAGACCTTTCCTATCTGAAAATATTTGGCCATTTTTTCAAATCATCGCTCGCACCCATTGATGATACTGTTCTGAGATCTAATAATGTGTTTGTGTATGGCGAACGCACAAGTTCATTAAGTTTTACCATTACTATTATTACTGTACTGATGAGTTCTTTGTTTCCTCACTAATTTCATCCTTTTGTCGTTTACATTTTATCCGAATAATTATTTCCACCTCCGTGCTACAGCTTCCAACACCAACTCACTCCCGTTTAAGATATTAGTTATAATCACTATCCAAATATACTGTTATCAAGTTATAATAACATTTACTTGTTTTGGACACTAAATAAAGTTGTTTGAAATCCCTTGGTTTTATTTTGAGTTAATTTGTATTCTTTAAACTTCAAAACAACCTTTCAGACTACCTGAGGAAGTTTCCTCTACGCAGGAGTTACTATCTCAAATAGGTTTGTGGCCATCGAAATTTGCATATGAAGGCCTTTTGTCCGCTTACGCTGATATTGGTGACAAAGACAGTTTATTACGAACTCTAGATGAGGCTTGCGCTGTACTCCCTTCAATAGATGACAAAACAGCAGCATCCCATGAAATCTCACCTGTTTTTCTCTTGGATCTGTACACAAGATTGGTGTGTTCGTCGGCATATACTGATGCAACGTGCAGTGAGGTATTTATTATTGAATTTGGTATTTTACTCTGCTAGGTTATAAATCTTTCCAAACTAAAATGTAAAGGATTTTTACAAATTGTATTAATTGTTCAACATACGACAATAAATTTCGCTCCATATAATCTACAAAATTCATTCTTATATGAGCTTGAGTGACACTACAGAAACCCGAGTTCACAATTTTATTTATTATTATTTTTATTTGAACACATAAATATTGGTGCAGGGGGGCACCAAATATATATGCGCCACACAAAACAATGATAATTTTAAGAGAAGAAAAAAATATAAAAAAAAGTAATGAACGTGGGGAATTATTAAAAAAAGAGAGAGAGAACAATGATGGGGAAAACGGAAAGGTACAATCAGAAATCTTTCAGTTAAGGAAGATACAACCATTGTTTATGAAGAAGGTTACAGCAGGATCGCCATTGGCTTCTATTCTGAGCCATATCTGATAACGTCTCTAGCCACTGCGTTACACCGTCTCTCGGACCCCAACCAGGGAGTCGTGAAGGACCAACAGAAGCTAGCCCTTTGCAGCTTTCTTTCATACCACGACACCATGTCATATACTGACCACCTCTCCACTTTTTCCAACCAGTCCCAGAGTCGGCAGATAATGCACGACGAGGAATTCTCTGGGACGACATTCGTAGAACATGTCCAAGCCACCGAAGTCGGTGTTTCAAGATGGTGACATTAATTTCATTATCGTCTCTGTGACCGAACACACGGTGCCGGACCTCTGCATTACTGACATGGTGTTGCCACTGGATGCCAGAAATCCTTCGGAGACAACGATGATCGAACGCAGAGAGTCGTCTAACATCCTCAACTCGGAGAGGCCAGGTTCCACAACCATAGAGCAAAACTGCTCTCACCGTCGCGTTGTAGATCCGATCTTTTACAGCCAGACATCACGAAGGCGCCAAAGATTGCTCAGATTGGCATAAGCCGCTCTGGCTTTCACTATACGTGCATTGATCTCATCACTCACGCCACCATCAGCACTTATGCAGCTACCTAGATACATGAACTTCTCGACTACTTCTATCTGCTCACCATCCAGAGTGAGTACAGGATTAGAATCCTGCCAGTCTTGTAGGAGTATTTTGCACTTCGAAGGTGCGAAGCACATACCATACCTACGGACATTGATTGCCAACTGATTAAGTGCGGATTGCCTGGCTTGGGCATTCTCGCACAGTAAGACAATATCATCCGCATACTCAAGGTCGAGAAGTCTTTCTCCAGGCAACAGATCCACACCACCATTACTTACATCCATCAGAGCTGTTTCCAGAATGTCATCGATGGCCAAGTTGAAGAGGAATGGTGAGATTGGGCAACCCTGCCTAACTCCACTGCTTGAATGGAATAGTGGAGAAAGGTGGTTGTATGCCCTCACTCTGAGGTGTTTGTGTATAGGGCTTTTAGGATGTTAATAAACTTCTCAGGCACACCCTTCTTCAATAGACAATCCCCGAGAACAGTTCTGTCCAACGAATCGAAGGCAGCCCTGATATGAAGAAACACTACGATTGTTGGCCTTTGATAAGTATGGCGGTGTTCTAACACTTGGCGGAGGGTGAAGATATGATCAATACATCCTCGACCGGAACGAAACCCAGCCAGCTCCTCGCAAGTCAATCCTTCTCGGATTTTGAACAACCTACGAAGTATGACGGAAGCCAATAACTTGGACGCAATCGGAAGTAGACTTATCCCACGATAGTTGTTACAGGAACGACGTGAACCCTTTTTAAAGATAGGGACAACTATCAACTCATTCCATGATGTTGGTACACTCTCTAGTTCCCAGACCTTTGTAAACAACGTCGTCAGTCCCTTAGTCAGAAAGTCACCACCATCTTTAAAAAGAGCCGGAGGTAAGTCATCTGGGCCCGGTTATTTGTAACGTTTCAAGAGTTGGAGTTCCTTGCGGACTTCCGCCTCATTTGGTGGATCAGTCGTCACCGGCCATGTAGGGCAGAACAGTCTGACCGATGTTGCCGGAGTAGCAGGCCAGTTGAACTGCCTTTCGAAGAATTCTGCCCATGGTCCAAGACGTCGATGGATGTTAGTGATTGGCGTTCCGTCATTCTCGAAGATTGTTTCGCTCATACCAGACTTCTTGCTGCCAGTGGCTCGGATGAGTTGGAAGAGCTGTCGGTAATTACCAGATGGAGCTGCTGCTTCCAGCTCATTAGCACGCTCCAACCACCAGGCTTCACGGACCGTACGCAAGCTTTGCCCGATTTCATTGTGTAACATCCTTCGTCTGTGGTCAAACTCACGGTCACCCGGAGTAGACCGACGGGCTTCAATCAGTTGTAAGGAACCAGAAGAAACACAGTGCTTGTAAGCGGGACGTTTCGCGAACCCACAACCGACTTGACCCGCCATTTTCATGGCGTCATGCAATTGCAACCAATGCTCATCTATACTTTTCGGTGGAATGGTAGCTAGCCTAGAAGCTAGCTCGGTTCGGTACATACTAGCAACAGAAGTTGCAGCCAGCTTGCTAACATCAATCCTGTGGTGGCGGTCACTTCGTTGTCCACTGAAAAGTAAGGTAAGATTAGCGCAGACCAGAGCATGATCAGATTCCACATAGGTACTCCAAAAGGAGCGGCAGTCTTGTACACAACCGCGCCAGCGGTAGCTGATCGCGATGTGATCAATCTGTATCCAGGCTTGAGATGCAGAAGGGGGACTCCAGGTGGCACATCGGCGATGACTGTGCCGGAAGTTAGTGCTAGCCAGAAACAGGTTGTGATCTGTGCATAGTTGCAGTAGACGTTCCCCGTTATTTGTCCTGCGAACTCGTAGTACTTCACCAGAGTCTTGAATACGGGTCTCGGATAGACAACAAACGTCAATTTTAAGACTTTCCAAAGACATAGCCAGCCCTATCTGTTGTCCGACCTGCATTAGTGTGCGAACGTTGAAGGCAGCCAGTTTGAATGGTGCACGTGGTTTCAGAAAAACTGCTTCAGTACTCGTATTCGGTGGTAACATACAATTTTCAACCAGGCAGTGACTCGAGAACGTTTAGATAAAGCTGAATTTTCACCATAGGCGAGTTGCTGTCTAGGTCGAAACGGATACATAAAGTAGGAATAAGAGAGGGTGAATAAATGACGTGGTAGTATAATAATAATAATAGTACGAGTCATTTCAATGTTAATCAGAGAGAAAAAATATTTTCCATAAGCAAATAGTTCATCATGATTTTAGTGCGTGGGCTGAGATACTACCCGGGTGCCCAAACCGAAGCAGGTGGTTTTCTTAGGGGGCCACACCCCGAACCTTTGACCTAAAGGTCTAGTCCACAAGGCAGTGGAGCATCGTGAGGAGATGCAGTCCCATGGAAGCCGGTGACCAAAAGTTGGTTCATACGCCATTTGTTCTCTCAGGCAGGATACTGGAGCCCATGTGCACCATTGATTTGGGATCCGGTTATAGCACAGAACATTCGCTTTTCGTCCTCTCATTTTCGTAAACAACACCCGTGGTGCGAGAAGGCAGTGAGTAGGACTTCCCTGGCAGAGGCTGTATACGCGTGGCCGTGTGAGAGTATTTCGAGAGGAAGGGCGAACCCTCCCCGCTCTCGGCCATACCAGGGCATTTGGGGGCTCACAATTTATAAGCTAATAACTTTCTAAACCGTAAATTTCACCCCATAATAATAAAGTAACTTGAAAAGCCGAATTAAAGTGAATTTTTTTCTTGAAACATGTAATGCCCTGTGAATTTATGCATTCAGAATTGTGTGGGAGTAAACAAATGAATGTAGATCAGGTTCTCGTCTTTGTAGATATAACAATATGCAGTAAATCTGCTAGATAGTGTGACTCCCAGCTGTTGGCCTAGCGTCTGTCTGCACTGATGTAGTTCTGTTCCCTCAGTCTTGATTTTGTGCAATTTATTATACCAATCTAATCATATTTCGACCAAGCTCTATTCAATAGCTTGTTCAAGATTGTATCTAACTGTTTATAATTTGTTCCACATATTTTTATTTATTAACTTACAGATTTCAACGAAATTACTTACAGTAGAAGATCACTTTCCGTTGGAGTTTGCTGTTGACACTGTCAAAGTACTCTTAGCGAAGGGACGCCCAGCCGCTGCTCTGGAAATTTTTAAAATAACACAGAAGTATCAAAAACAAAGTGATCATTTATCTTCATTTCCGGTTTATGCTGCTGCTGGTGGTTTGGTTAGTCACTTTTTTGTTTATATATACTACACAATTCAAGCGTTCCCTCCAATTTAGCCTTTGTTGCAGTTCCTCGCCTTCAGCTGTTCTGTTTATTCATGGAGCTTATCGTTCTAAACATCAGCATAAACTTCAGATAGAAATAGAAGCAACATATTCAAATCTCTTTGCTTATGACTGATAACTTGTCCTGTCGATTTTGATCTCTTAAACACACACGCTACACCTGCTGGAGAAAGTAGGCCTTCCATGTACGACTTTGTAGTGTAGTCCGTTATAAGGATTACGTATAATGTCGACGATTTCCTCAGTTACTCACTCCACAGTGTCAAAGTCGGTTCCATAAGGTTCTCCTACCCACAACGTCAATTGATTTCTCATAGCCAAGGAAGATGATGTATGGTGAAGAGTTCCATATAATTGATTGTCCAACAGTGATCTATAGTTTCGCGATTTGGTCTATGCACGACCGATCTTCACGGAATCCAACCTGTTGAACTCGAAGTTGAGTGTCTACTGAATTTTCCAGTTTGTTGGCACTTGCTCTTCCTCCCAAATGTTCCTGAATGGAGAGCAGAGAATGTTTGCAGTTACTTCCATAAGTGACTTCAGTACTTCAAGTGGTATATTTTCAGTTGGTGCTGATTTCCCACTGTTGATTTGTCTGATGACGGGTCATTCTGGTTTCTTCGCTCGTTGGTGTAGTGGCAACTATAGGAAGGTCTGTGTGACGCTTCAATGTCCGGTGGGTTGAGTGGGGCGGGTCTATTCAGGAGTTCCTCGAAGTATTCTACCCATCTGTTCCTCTGCTCTTGAATCTCGATGATGGTCTTACCCTTTTTGTCCTTGACTGGTCTCTCTGGTTCACTGTATTTCCCTGTCAGTTTCTTCGTCGTGTCATATAGTTGTTTCATATTTCCTTCTGTTGCGACTTTTCCCGCCGTCGTTGCTAGGTTTTCCATATATTTCTTCTTGTCAGCTCTAATGCTCCCCTTCACTTACTTGTTTGCTTCTGTGTATTCAGCTTGTGCCTTGACTTTCTCTGTTCTTGTTCGGCTGTTGTCAGTTGCTGTCTTCTTGTTCTTTCTTTTTTGAGTCTTGTTGAGGGTTTTGATAGAGATGTATTCCTTATAATGATGCTTGTTGCAACCCAGCACTTCCCGACACTTTGATGTTAACGCCTCTCTGATCCCTTTCCAATTTTCCTTCGTAGTAGTTTCTTCTTCTTTAAGTAAATCTTGTAAGGCTTGGAACCTGTTGTTGAGAATTATCTTGAATTGCTTGAGTTTGTCAGTATGTCGAAGGAAGTCTGTGTTGAACCTTTGTAATGCTATTTCTCCAGTTGTCCAGTGCTTCTCTAGCATCAATTTTCTTCTTGGAAACTACCAGTTAGATGGTGATCTGAAGCTATGTCAGTTCCTCTCCTGGTTCTCACGTTTTCCACTGACCTTGTGAATATTTTAATGATGCAAATATGATCGACCTGGTTCTGTAAGTTATAATCCAGTGAGACACATGTAACTTCGTGTATGTGTTTGTGGATGAATATAGTAGTACCACCTGTAATCATTTTTTGATTGCACATACATTTGCGAATCCGTCGCCATTCTTGCTCGTTTCTCCCAGTCAGTCTGTGTTGTTCCATGATGCTCAGTGTTGTCCACTCCGAATTTAAAGTTTAGGTCTTCCATAAGGATGTACAGGTCCTTCCCTGCACACTTGGCTATGATTGATTGTAGCCTCTCATAAAACTGATCTTTATCGTCATCATTGCTATCATTGATTCGCGCATGACATTGAATAGCATCGTGATTCCCTTCTTCCTTGTTTTGAAAGATGTTTTGTTTTTGCACCACATCCTTTCAAAACTATCTCAATCCTATGGTAATGTTTTATTATATATATGACCCTTTTATTGGTTTTAGAATGTCTTGGTAATGACTGATTGATTTTTTTGATAATGTTCCGTGGATAGCCGTTCCTCCGAGATGTAGTCATCTAATATTTGTTTACGTTTTTCCGCACTATAAATTGCTTGTAGTGTGTCAACGCAATTGATTTAGTAAGTTTTCGGGTTGTTGCTACCATAATAAAACTAATATATTTGTAATATCTCGATGAATAAGAAAATTGGATTTTCTGATGTTTCATGTAAGCCACTTCTTCAGAGAAATAAACAAATTAAATATACACAAGTTTAAATAGTGCAAAGGAGCGAAGCAGAAATATTAAGTAGCATCAATCAAAAATATCTTTGACTAGAGTTGAGAATTTGTTCTGTGTGAGTTGGTTCCCGATAGAACTATACTTCCAGTTTTTCTGTTGTGTTTCTTGTGTCCAACACATCTAAAAATGACAGCTTTTGTCCGATTCTTTCATTGTGAAGTTTGTGTACTCAAAGACGTTGTTGACGTTGTAGATATTCTCCAGCTCCTTTTTGGTGTTAACTAATTTATCATCTACATAGATATATTTGGTGCCCCCCTGTACCAATATTTATGTGTTCAAATAAAATAAATAAATAATCATTTGGTCGTAATGGAATTAAATTTCCCTAGTCTTATACTTTAAGTGTATGGAAAATGTAATGATGTAGACGGATAAGTTCACCAAAGGTTTCAGTATTCTTTAACTTCCCCCTGACAAATTTTTTGTTCCAAGGAGCAATTAGATTAGATGTATTGGGGCACCAAATTATTATACCACCCATTTGGTTTGTGTAGTTTCAACCTATCATGGAATCGAAAGAGAATTTATCCATTGTCTTTCATTCTCGATTTGTCTTATTTCTAGATTGGTCTTGCTTTGTCAAGCTTTTTTGAAACTTTGCAATTTTTTTCCCCAACCTTTCATTGGATTTGTACCCGTTGTTTTTATATGCTTATAACCTTAAGTAGCTCATCGATTTTTCTAAGAAGTCATTGTTTATTTCATCTTCATGCCTAACACTAAATATTTACATTTGCACCTCACTTGTCTTTGTTTTACCAGGATTACAAAGCACTAGAACCTTTCTGGTATGCAGCTAATGTGGATGGTAAAGAGCTGTTTATGCTTAGAAATAAATGTAAATTGTGTAAGTATTATGATTTGTAATGTTCATATTTGTATAAATATAACCATATTAGACTTTGTCCAGTTTAATAGACAGAATCATCCGCCTAAGTGTTTGCACTCCTGTTCTCTCAAACTCTAATCTTCTGAATTCTTCATGTCCTTTATTTTCTTTCCCAATTTATTCCACTGGACTATACTCCTTTAATAACATCATCAAACCTTAATGTCCCCTATCTCTACTTATACTTTCAGTACCTCTACTACTATGGGATTTGAATCGATAACTGAATCTCTGTGCTAATGTGGTATGGCAACTCGAACTGATGTACGTACGTACGAAGTTCCACGTTGTTACTGACTGACTGACTGACTATGATACCGCCCGGGTGTCCAAACCGAAGCAGGTGGTTTTCTTAAGGTATCACACCCCGAGCCTTCGACCTAAGGGTCTGATCCACAAGGCAGTGGTGCATCGTAAGGAGATGCAGTCCCATGGCAACCGGTGACCAACGATTGGTCCATACGCCATTTGTTCCTTTAGGATACTGGGACCCATGTGCACGATTGGTTTTGGGTCCGGTTAAAGCGCCGGACATTCGTTTTTCGTCCTCTCATTTTCGTTAACAACACCCGTGGTGCGAGAAGGCAATGAGTAGGACTTCTTTGGCAGAGGTTATATACGCAGTGGCCATGTGAGAGCATTTCAAGGAGAAAGGATTCTCCCCACTCTCGGCCATACCAGGGCATTTGGGGGCTCTTAGACATCCATATATTCATGTGCCCAAATATTTTAGCTAGGTAATTTTCAAGACCATCATTTGTATATTTCATAAGACATCTTAGGAAGAAATAGTTTTCTATTTCATAAATCTTGTTTAGTTTCACTGTTGTCATTGTAATTTTAGTTGTGTATTATTGTTTTGAATCACATTTCCAAACTTGTATAATTTACTCAACATTTCATCCATCAAATTAATTCTTGGATAATATTTTAATTTTGATTCTGTATATCCATCTAAAGAAAAGTTCTCTCTTTAGATTTCCATCGGACTGGTAAAATGACCAGTAAATTGGGCGATCAATTTCAAGCTTGTCTCGAAGAGAACAACGCACAAGGTTGGTTATTTATCATAAAGCATAAAAGCTATTAAAAAGAACTTGCCATCAGATTAATTCACTACAACTTACTTATGCCTGTGACCCCTCGTGGAGGAGCATGGACCACTCACCAGTATTCTCCATCAAACTCTCATGGATAATTCTTTCCAGTTGCTACTCATCCTTTTCATGTCTACTTCCGATTCTCGACACAATGTTCTTTGGTCTTCCTCATTTCCGTTAACTTTCAGGATGTCAAGTCAGGGCTTGCCTCGTGATGCAGTTTGGTGTTTACCCTAACGTATGTCATATCCGCTTCCAATGTTATCTTCTGATTTCCTCCTCAGCTGGAAGTTGGGTTATTCTCTCCCACATAAGCTGTTGCTGATGGTCTCCGGTCAACAGACATTGAGTATCCTGTGCAGACGATTGTTTATAAATACCTATGCCTTTTTGATAATAGTTGTATTAGTTGTTGAAGTTTCAGCTCTGTACAGTAAAACAGTCTCGACGTCCGTATTGAGGATTATGACTTTGAAATCGGTTGACAGTTGTTGTAAGTTGTATATGTCGTTCAACTGTAGGAATATTGCTCTTGCTTTACCGATCATCACCATTACATTTGTATCAGATTCTCCCTGTTCGTCGATGATGCTGACCATGTCATGTGCTGAAAGTTCTCAGCTGTTCCATAGTTTCTCCATCAAATGTGATTGGCTTGGTTGGTGTTCTCCGTGTTGTATTTATGGATGTTGGATTTTATCTTGCGTATGTTAAGACCTACTGATGTAGAGGCTTCTGCTACACAGGGAGAGAGTAAGCAGCCTTATCTGACATCAGTTGTTAATTGGAATGCGTCTTTCAGTTGTCATCCATGTCTGACTTTGTAGTGCGGTCCGTCGTATAAATTTTGTATACTCCAACTTAAATATAATAATCATCTCTTGTTATTCTTGTACTATATTTAGTCTCTGTCTTCGTACATTTAGAATCATAGTGTTGTTTTGATTTGGTCAGTCCGCATCAACGTAGAGCCTGAGACAGATGTGCTTTGGCTCAATTCGTCATATCATATTAACATGTCAAGATGTGGATAACAAAAAGTATATCAGAAGAAATCAAAATAATGTACCAAAGATAGTGAGAAGAAATAGGCATGAAGGAAGTAATTTAAAAATACAAAGTTGAAAGTTATTTTTAAAAGAAACATCGATATCTAAGATTGAGAGGAAGTTCAAGAGTATACAAAACTGGGCCACCATTCAACTCTTCATAGAATGCTTTTGGCTGAGTAGGTTGTCGATGCAATCTGCGCGGGATACACAAATCCCAAAGGATACTAATCAATTGCGGCTTTAAAAAAACAATAAAATTATCCCAACAACCAGTACACATGATTATCCCAAACCATTTCACAGAAAGTCTTAGACCACTGGTTTTGGTTATTGCGCACATTCCTACCAAGGAGTCTGCATTAATCAGTATAGTTAAGGACAAACAATCGACAAATTTATGGACCACTGTCATGTTTAATATATTCCATCGCTAGTCTCCCGACTTATTTCCACTACAATGATCCACCGAAAGCTATTTCAACTCTGAGCCACTCAAAATAAGAAATCTGGTATCAGTAAAACGATCTGTTGGTACGCCAATTAGTAATGTTCAAATACGTCTGGAACAATAAGCGGAGCTTTTGAAAGGTAGTACAGCTGTTCTGTTGCCCCATAGTAATCGATTATTCTATTCTGCTCTCCGTAATCACCGACGACTAGACCACTTAACAAAACAAAGATCCATATAGAACTTCATCTTATGAGGCGTCATAAGTTAGCGAGACCGAACAGTTCACCACCGGCTATTTTTTAGGAACGTAGCGAACCTCTAATCAGGAAAGTGATTAGCTTATTGCAAAAAGCACCTCGGCATTGTTCCATTCCAACAGTATGGTTAGGCAAGATTAGTTAATCTCCTCATTCCCCCAACAACTTTCCCATCGATGACATTCTGAAAGCGTTACTCGTGGAAGTGAGTAGTGGTGGTGGTGGTGGTGTGGATCAGTTTACTGGGGAAGTCTTTCTAAGCTTGAATATACGAATGATATTGTTTGACTGAGTGATGATATTCAGGCTACGACAGTTTATGACTCGATACAGTGAAATGGTGCAACTCAGTGACTTGAGACCTTGTCAGAAACGGATAGAATTAGAAGTTTAATGGCGATCCCATCCTAATCTCTTTTACATTCCTCTTAAAAGAGAGAGGAACAAACCAAACTAAACGAAGTATTTCTGGTTGGATCTTCAACTGAATTATATATTTAAAGATATGCTATTAAAGTAATAATCAAAAACTCTATGACGGTAAATAGATTTGATGCACATGACTGGTTAGTGCGAACCTCCAAGATAAATTTTTAAAGGAGTAGTGTGTGGCTTCTGTCCGGGAGGTTCTACTCCCTGCCATAATCCAATAGGGATATATTTTTATAAGAAAGTGAGAATATGGAGAGCGAAACTTGAACCTTTATGATGTATGCAGAAGATACATCTATAGGAATTTACAAACACTGATCACTCGCTATATTTTTCACATTACGCAATCCAAAAAGTGCTTTTCAAATCCTGCAGCTCGCGTTTGTTTCTTTTCAAAGACTACGTTTCACAACTGTAAAATAATACGTTTAGAACTGATCCCGTCACAGACATCCTACTTACACTATTTATAACATATGTTGTCCAAGGTTATTCGAGTTTTTTTGAATCTTTGTCGAGATTTTTTCAGATACCAATCTATTTGGGTAACAATAAACTGACAGCTAAGATAATCAGCTTTGAGAATTTTCTGTCTCTAGCTACTTTTCTGTTCTTATTATTGACAATTTGTACTCTCAGCATGTTCGTTTGATTTCTTATGTAAGTATTATGTTGATACTTATCTGTTCAACTTGTTAATACATTGATTAATTCCTTTTTAAGCTTTATTCCTACATTTATTGTTTTACCTAATTATGGCGTAAACGTTTCTTATTATGTTCACTACTTTTTTTCTGTAGGTGCTCTTGATTTATTGAAGAATCTAAATAAAGCAAACATTTCATTAGCGTATTCATTGTTTCTACCAAAATTAAACCGCTTGGGCTTTTCTTTACAGGACTTAATCAAACAAACTCAAGTACGTTTTTATACGTAGTAATATTTTTACTAGTCTTGAATAAATCTTATGATACGGGAATTCGTCAATATTAGAACAAATGGTCTGACAAAAATTGGGCGCCTAATATAGAGAAACCATTATAATACGTGAAAATTATATTTGAAGTCATCTCAGCGACTGAAATTTAAACAATTTTGATCTTGGTTACCCTGAAGAAGTATACGCCAGTTTGCCAGACGAAACGTTGGAATTATTTAAATTTCAATCTCTGAGATTAATTCAAATATCATTTTCACATATAATTAAATCTTAGTATTATTCTATATGAGTTTACATATAAAGTTATTTATGATACCTAAAGTGATCTGATGATCTTTAATGCCTTGTCCAACAAGTCTAAGTTTCTCGGTACTTTGGTTTCAGAAAATGGGTAGTACTACCAAACCTTGCCAAGTGTATAAGTTTGTATCCAGTGAATTAGCTATATCTAATTATGAAGTCTGTTTCTGCTAGTTCAATATATTTTAAACATATATGTGAATGCCTATATCAAAATATCATAAGGGTAATGCCTCATTATGTTAATGGTGGATGATCTGCTAAGATTTTCATGAAATCCAATTTCAATAGTAATTAATATCATTAATCAAAATCATCATAATTTTACTTTCATTGATACTATACTTGGGTGATTGCCTTCTTATCATAATGTATCCCTTCTTATTCCTTTGTTATTGAATGATATTACCTAACACAAAACGTTTATCCTGTTTTTTTGTTTGAATTCAATTCTACTGTAATATTCTTACAGGAAAATGATTGACATTCTTTATTTGATTAATCTATAATTTCAGTAATTGAAATCATAAGTCAATTGAAGGTAGACCACCATGAAAAGCCTGGAAGCACTAGACGGCCGTTTCGTCCCAGTATGGGACTCCTCAGCAGTGCGCATCCACGATCCTGCCCCCCCCGCGGGATTCGAACCCAGGACCTAATAGTCTCGCGCCAGACGCCTAACCAACTAGACCATTGAGCCGGCCAGCATCCAACGGTGTTAATGTCTAACTTCAACCAATCCACGAAGTAGCGCCACCGTCACCATTGTCTTCAGTGAGCTGATATCTCACAACAGACCTGGTTGAACTCCACTGGTCACGGCTTCTCACTAGAACTCCAGGAGTATCTCTTGAAATCAGTCACTAGTGAGCAGATGATTATTACTAGAAGGGGTTTTGTGGAGAATTGGTAATTTCAATAGTTGAAATCATGAATCTGTAATTTAAAATTATTCATTTCTAATCATGTTTTTTTTGTATTTTAGGATCATGAGGTTAATAAGGCTTTAGTGTTTGGTTATGTGTTTAATAACTTAGCATCAATACAATCAACAGACGATTTTAAATCACGTTTGACTAGCTGTTTGGAATTGGTGAATGAGTATCGTGCTAAAGAATTACTACCGTACAATGATGTTGTTCGTTTGGGCAACTCCATTGTTATTAAACTGGTAATTAGCCAATTATACATTTTTTGTTGTATGAAGTAAAAATATCTGGAAACACATTGCTTACTTACTTATACCTGTTACTCCTCATGAAGGAGCATAGGCCGCCGACCAGCATTCCCCGACCCACTCTGTCCTGGGCCTTCCTTTCTAGTTCTATCCAGTTGTTCATTTTTCTCGTGTCTGTTTCCATTTCTCGGCGTAATATGTTCTTTGGTCTTCCTCTTCACTTCCTTTGACGTTGAGGATTCCATGTGAGGGCTTGCCTTGTGACGCTAAAAAAAAACGCGAACCGGGCACATTGCACTCTAGTAAATTGCATTAACATTGGATTAAGTGGAGATAAATCAAGTTTTGTATTTGGCAACTGTATTTGTATTTCGTCAAAATGTTATCTGATTAACTGTAATACATATAGTATAAGTTATTATTAAGACCTGTTTTTCACAAACTTCCTATCCGATTCCGATAACTAATGATAGCTAAGTTTTTATCATTGGTTTTATTTATCCTCTCGAAGTATTACATTAGTTTGAAGACTCCATGTGTAGACGTTATTTGCAAATGCTTGTATTTCCTTATTGTTAGTGTCATAAAATAGTACAATCAATTTCTATTGCCATATAAGTACTGAATGTGCGGATACCATCAGCAACAGCTTATTGTGGGAAAGAACAAATCAACTTCCACCTGAAGAGGAAATCAGAAAAAGAAGTTGGAAGTGGATACAACATGCAACCAAATTAGAGGAGAGTCCCCCAATTCTCGAATTGTTCTCAAATGACCGCATATGCAACCACTGCTATGGAAGTCTTCTCGGCGAGGGTGTTTACGAAATTAAAAGGATGAAAAGCGGATGTCAGGCAATGGAGATGATAGTCACCATTATCTATCCTGTAAAGAATGAGTTCCCAACAGTCGAATCCTATGTGCGTAGACTCTTGTTTGTTTCACACTGACTCGCGCTACTATATCTCTCAATAGCGCTTTCTCTTCCGTTCAGTTGGTGGTACAACTTGTCCACGGTAACACTCGGGTTGTAATCTGTCGAGGTATGGGTGTTGTTTACATTAAGACGTCGTTTCTACATCCTTTTCTTACTTTTATAGAGCTTTCTAATCGAACAAAGAAAGCCAAATCTCTTTCCTGATCTGCATCTGTGTGCGAATGTTATAGTAGTCAGTTTCAATATAAGATTTAGTTTCAGACATTCGGAAAAAACTTATATTTTCTGTTATCACTAATTATTTTATAATCTGTACTATTTTTTGCTTTGCCGTGAAAATACTATGTTGCTGTGTTAATGAGGCATGGCAGCTTAAATGATGTACTTATTTGTTAGGTTCTAAATTGCTTAATTCAATGAATAAAGTTAAATTTTCCACTGGACAGGTAATTAAGTTTGTATCGATGAAATAGGATTTACCCCATAGGCACGTAGGGTCAGGAATTGGTAGAGTGTAAATGAGTTGTTAAGTTTTAATATTCAATATGTTATTATTATGCTCAAAAAAGTACTTTTCTTAATTGTTCATTACTTAGTTTCTTTTTCAAGCTATACGTTTTTCTATTATGCAACGTCTGAATTTTTTTTTTCTGACTTTTGATGGATGTACTTTTCTTGTTTTGTTTTGTTTTAAACCTCAGGTGACAAATATAATATCCGTTTCAGATATGGCAGAAATTGCAAAATTAAATAAATCAACCGTAATGCATGACGTTTTTCGCATTTTCAGTCATACACTAACAAAACGTGCATTACGTATGCTGTATGTGCAAGTTTTCGAAGCTTTGATGCTATCCAACCTTCGTTCATTACATGGCATCCCAAGAAATACTGTCATTCAACTTGTAGCTGATGTATGCGCTCATCAAGTAAGTGAAGAATATTTTCGTTTTTGCTTTGTTGATGGTTGTACCTATACTTGATTTGTGTTATATTGGTAATAAATGATTTAAAGATTTTTTAAAAAAAAAACACTTGTTACTGAGTTTTATTGAACTTCCCGTGAAGCTGCTCGATGAAATCTTAAATCCAAATATGCTGTGTAACTTCAGACTATATGGGAATCCAGTAATAATGAACTTTATTGTATACCTTGTAGAAAACTTCCAACCACCACACGTTAAGATGGTTTACTCAATGTCGTGCCACTTAGAATAGTTACCACATTGCAACATGATCGATTGATTTTGATGCCTTTACTTTACCCATCGTTAAAGAGCATAGGCTGCCCATTTGGAATTTTTAGCCAGGTTGTTTTCTACGTGATTGGGTTTCTGACTCCATACCCAACCACCTCCTTTATCAGGGCTTGGGACCGGGAGTAACCCTGGAAGAGTTACAGGCAGCAACCAATGGATCAAAACAAATATTATTAACAGCAATACTGCTGCATGCATATAAGGCAGTGTATTGATAAAACCAATTCGTATTACAATACCCTTTTTTCACAGATTCTTGAATTTATCAGTAATGTTTACAGAGTACTCTTACCGAAAGATTAGTACTTTTCAAAAAAAATAATTTCTGGTGAACACTTACTCAAATTTGGTCTCCATGTCAGTCAGTCAGCTGCAACGTAGGACGAGGCACATATATGCATCGGTCCAAGTTGCCACACCTCACTCATTAGCACAACAAGATGAACACGGAATTCATAGAAGTAGTCACATCAAAGGTAGTAGTATATAAAAGAAAGATTGTATATAAGGATATAATACAGGAAGAAAGAATTAGTTCGTAGAAAGAAAGATTTGAAGTGATGTTAATCTCTTAATTTAAAGGAAGACAGAGAGTGTATACACCGACGCCATTGTGATCGATTCTGAGCCATGTCACCAAGAGTCTCCAACCATTAGCTACGATAGTCACGCGGACCCCAACCAGGCAGTCTGCATCTACCAACATGGCTGAGACTGCTGCCACGTTTTGGTTTGGCCACCCCTAACTTTCTTCCAATCATCCCTAACACCGGTTAGCATTGCGCGTCGTGGTAATCAGTGTTCAGGCATACGCAACACGTGGCCCGGTCTCCATGTAGGACGATTTTTACGGTCAGAATAGGTAGATCATGTACTAAAAACTCAAAATTCCACTACTAATTTCTGCTATTTGTGTGTTAATTATTTTTACTGTTTACACCAAATGTGTATGGAATACTATTGCTCCTACAGTTGCTGATTTATGGGTTTTAGAAAGGTATACATTTATTTGTTGCTGTCTAAATTCCAATTTTTATCCGTAGACAATATTTTTTGACCCTAATTTTCAACATAGTTTACGTCTTAAACGTGGTAATCTATTTAAGGAATAGTGTTTTCACTGGTAAACCATTTACTGAGCTTTCAACTACCGTACTACTAGTCCAAATATGTTCACTTATGCGTTAAATTTCATCCTCTAGCTTCTATTCATTTATCATAAGTTCACTGGTTTATTTGAGATCTCAACAGCCAGCTGTCGGTTCGTTATCTCAACAAAATTTAACTATCTGTGCAACTATCGCACTGATAGTTTTCTAGCACCTGTGTGGTGTATGCTACTTATGTAGACATAAGTAGTATTTGTCGGTGGTCAGGCATAGAATGTATTACAGTAGATTGTCGATGAGGAAAGAATGGGAACGAAACGCAATTGGTATGAAAACGCATGAACAATGAAATGAGACAATGGATTGATGTTTGCAACAGGAACAGTCAAGTTTGATATGATGGATTGATATTTTGCAAATTAACGATTTTATTGAGATGTTCTGTAATTATCTGCCTGAATACATTCGATTGTCCCCATTGGTGTTCTTGTTAATTACACCTGTAGTTATTAATCTAAATATTTTATTAAAAATATTATTGAGTTCCTGACCCTAAGACATTCATTTGCCACTTTTGTTTTTCTCTTAGAATATCACGTTTGGCTATGGTGATTGGATATTATCAGGTTTGAGAGATGCCGAAGTACCAAGGGTATGTTTCCTGCACATGGATAGTTAATTCATTATATTCATGTCCTTGTAATTTGTCACTTTTTGAAACCGTTAGTATTTCAGTCAGTCAGAAACAACGTGGAACTTCGTACGTACGTACATCAGTTCGAGTTGCCATACCACATTAGCACAGAGATTCAGTTATCGATTCAAATCCCATAGTGGTAGAGGTACTGAAAGTATAAGTAGTAATCGGAAACATTAGGGTTTGAAGATATTATTCAAAGAGTATAATCCAATGAAATAAATTTGGAAAGAGAAAAAGGAAAGAAACACCAAGAATTCACATTAGAATTTGGGAGAACGCAAAAAGTGGATGCACCTGAGTCATTGCAAACGATTTTCAGCCATGTTACTCAAGGTCTCTAACCATCGGTTGCTATCATCTCGCGGTCCCCATTCAGGTAGTCTACATCTACCAACATTGCTCAGTCCACTTGTCAGTGACTTGATGGATTTGTGCCTTGTTTTGGTCTGTCCGCCCCTAGTTTTCTTCCAACCTATTCCTACACCACAATTTTTTGTTGTTTTTATTTATGTGAAACATAAAGATTATTTGACATTGTGATCTGTAAAGTTTGAGGATGTGATCATATCCCAAAGTGCATTACATTTGTTTAAATATGTATTTCATGATTGTATTTTCTTTTTTCTATTATTCAAGCATATTATGGCAAAAATTTTTTCTGATCAATCTGTGGAATTATCTTCGTAAGTTTGATCATTGTTTCTCGTTTTTCAAATCTAATCAACGTCTGTAAAGTTAGTTAAACATCAGTAATCCACACTCCTTTTTAATGTCATCACTTTATTTATGCATAGGTGGAAATTATGTCCGTCTATTAAACTTGAAGCATTTGGTTTTCGTAAGGGGGGGTATCCTCTGAACCCTCATGTCCGACAACTAATTCACGTATTACAGGAACAATATCCAGGATATCCAGTCCTATTGTGACCAGAAATCAGTATGGTTTCGTGCGCTATGTTTCTTTTGATACTCCCATGGCTTGGAATCAAGCTATTCTAACTCCTTAATGAGGCCTGTTTATGCATCGTTCAGCATTACGTCCCACTTTTCATTTTCTCACTCTCTTATAAAAATATATCCCTATTGGATTATGGCAGGGAGTAGAACCTCCCGGACAGAAGCCACACACTACTCCTTTAAAAATTTATCTTGGAGGTTCGCACCAACCAGTCATGTGCATCAAATCTATTTACCGTCATAGAGTTTTTGATTATTACTTTAATAGCATATCTTTAAATATATAATTCAGTTGAAGATCCAACCAGAAATACTTCATTTAGTTTGGTTTGTTCCTCTCTCTTTTAAGAGGAATGTAAAAGAGATTAGGATGGGATCGCTATTAAACTTCTAATTCTATCCGTTTCTGACAAGGTCTCAAGTCACTGAGTTGCACCATTTCACTGTATCGAGTCATAAACTGTCGTAGCCTGAATATCATCACTCAGTCAAACAATATCATTCGTATATTCAAGCTTAGAAAGACTTCCCCAGTAAACTGATCCACACCACCACCACCACTACTACTCACTTCCACGAGTAACGCTTTCAGAATGTCATCGATGGGAAAGTTGTGGGGGGAATGATGATATTAACTAATCTTGCCTAACCATGCTGTTGGAATGGAACAATGCAGAGAGGTGGTTATATGTGTGCCTTCTGTGTGTCTGATGTGTTTGTACACCGAACCTTCAAGATACTAATAAACCTCTTGGATATACCTTTCTTAAACAAACAATCTGAGAAAGCAATCTCACTCAACAAACCAGTAATGGCGCTCGCTAATTCACCTTTATGATTTTTTGTTGTATACATCAAACAGCCCCTCAATCTTTGAACTATTTTCATTGGAGTTCATATATAACATTGTTCAATGTAAAGACATTCCTATATATTATGCCTGAAATAGTCATATGAAGCGTAACATTTTCAGTATTCTGACTGTATCGATTTACGTGTTTCGAAGTTTATTGTAAGTAGTATATGTTTGCTTGCATGATTATTTGATTTTACCATGAAATGTTATCAAATGGAGCATTTTCCGTATCCTTACTTTTCTTCCTTATGTTTGCTTTTCCCATTATACTTTTCAATATCAGGTTTTCAGATCTTAGCGTTGTGCTTTTTGGTGGGCGAACAAGCAATGGTAAGCACACAATCAGTTAAAGACCATTCTTGTAAGGTGTATTGTTCGATTTATATACTTGGCACTCTGTATGGCTTGTACTGTAATTAGTAACTGATTTTTAAAGAAAATTAGAACGTTTTTGTTAATACTCATGAATGTCGCGCCGTTATACCGTTTTTGTGCGCGTTAAGCGAATTTCTCTATTTTCACCGCTGTCGCTAGAGATATTCTACTATAGACATTTTGAAAATAGTGTCCATCGCTTTTGTGATTGTCACTTCGTTCATTTTTGAAATGCCTTAGCATGAGTTATCACATCGTCATTAGTAGTAGCCTTTTCCCCATGATTATATTAATTATTTTTATCAATTCGTCACAAAAAAACAAAGCATCATTTCAGGTTTCCGTGTACCACATCATGGTATAAAACAACATAACGGTAATTGTTAAAATTATTGACTTCCATAAAACCACTCAGATTGTCGGAAAACCGAGAAAGGCTGGTTTGGGTGGAGGCGGTTTTATTATTGTTCTGTTTCAAGAAGCCTCAACCATATGTGCACCCTTCCAAATGTTAAAACATCGTCATAATTATAGCACGCCAACAGTCGTTGTATCCTTGTCACCGTTTCGCTAAATAAGATTGCCCTTTGGGATTGTCTGAGTTTGAGATGGAGAAAATTTGTAGCTCCATCAAAATTGTCTGGGTTTTTCCTGTCATTTCAATCAAGTCGCTTTGAGAACGATAAGATTAAAAGCAGCGAATTCATGGTCCGCAGGGGATATTGTATTACTGACTTTACTGTTTGACTGCAATAAGTTGTTTGTCTCAAACAACCAACATCTGTAGTAATGTTAGCTTGTCACAAATGAATGAATGTGTTAGAAAAGGTAGATTCTAAAAATAAAACTTCACCTTACAACATACATTTCGATCTCTGGGGGAGGTATGATTTTCTCACCGTTATCGGATATTCATGAGACAAGGTTAAATTTCTTATAATTACAATCGACCATTTGAAAATATCGTCTCTTGTTTTGAAAAAGTTCGATACAGGATGTCTGAATTAACTACTTTACTACCGTCACACCTCAGTTTAGTCACCGATACTACTGCACAATGCTTTTTTTTATTTTTTTTGTTTGATCACATATTGGTACAAGGAGGCACCGAATACATATGAGCCACACAAATCAAATGAGATTTGTGTAAGGGTTGTGGTACTGCCCGTGTGCCCAAACCGAAGCAGGTGGTTTTCTTAAGGGATCACACCCTGAGCCTTCTACGTAAAGGTCTGATCCACAAGGCAGTGTAGCAACGTCAAGAGATGCAGTCCCATGGTAGCCGGTGACCGAAAATTGGTTCATACGCCAATTGTTCCTTCAGGATCCTGGAGCCCATGTGCACGATTGGTTTGGAATCAGGGTGTTTCAACTCCCCTAGGTGGACTCCTCGTGTCCACCAACCCGCTTTTCGTCCACTCAATTTCATAAACAACACATCCGTCACGAGAAGGCAGTGAGTAGGACTTCGCTGTCAGTGGTTGAGAGCATGTCGAGAGGGGAAGCAGACTCTCCCTACTCTCAGTCGTACTATGGCATTTGGGGGCAAATTGCTGCTTTTGGAATTATATAGTTCTTTACCTACCTACTTCATTTTGTAAACCCTAAATGTCAAATTGTTTCACCCAATATCGCTTGATTAGATCACCACAATGTGAATGCCTAAGCATTATGTCATTGTCGCAACTACAGTTATGATCGTTTCATACTAATAATATGTGGTTTATAATGGGTTAGTGATTTCCTCATATACCTGTTTCGTTTGATTTACTCATCTTTCGAGAATTTGACATATTAACCATTTTTAACGATATCTATTGTGTAAACATGTGATTCATTATGAAAATTGTAGTAATACTATTAATATTAACGCCTTTTCATACCTTCATTAATTGTTTTCTTTTTCTCACTTGTTTCTTATATAAAGTAGTCAGAAGGAACATAAATGAAAATTCATTAACGAATCAAATGGTATGTTATGTCAAATGTACATATTTTTATAAAATGTAATATGTAATTATAATTCCCTATAAATAAAGCGTTTTTTTTGTATTTTAGAACTCTTGAAACATTGATTATAGCATAGAATTATGTATGCTTTACATCTATTGAATACTGACTATATTCTTTACGCTATTTCTGATAGTGTGTATTATTATGTTGCATGTGTTTCAATCTTGTTTATTTCACATATTATTTATAATTATCTCAATGTTTCTTTTTTACAGAAGTCTCATGTTGAAGAATCAATACCAATTACCGCCGAAACACTTGTTAAGTAAGAATGATATACAGTTATTACTTTGTTTATTGTTTAATTTTTCCCAACAAATTGGTTTTTGTAATATCAGATGCGTTTTGTGAATATTATAGTAATTTCAATGGTTAAAATCATGAGTTAGTTGAAGCTTTGTTTATTTTAACACATAGATATTGGTACAAGGAGGCACCAAATACACATGCGCCGCACAAATCTCATTTGATATATGTGAGGGCTGTGATACTGCCCGGGTGCCCAACCCGGTGCCTTCGACTTGAAGGTCTCATCCACAAGGCTGTGGAGCATCGTAAGGAGATGCAGTCCCATGGTAACCGGTGACCAACGATTGGTTTATACGCCATTTGTTCCCTCAGGATACTGGAGTCCATGTGCAACATTGATTTTGGATCCGGTTAAAACACCGGACATTTGCTTTTCGTCCTCTCATTTTCATAAACGACACCCGTGGTGCGAGAAGGCAATGAGTAGAACTTCCCTGGCAGAGGTTATATACGCGGTGGCCATGTGAGAGCATTTCGAGTTGGAGAGCGGACTCTCCTCACTCTCGGTCGTATCAGCGCATTTTTGTGCAAGCACGAAACAGCCGTCCAGTGCTTCCAGGTTTTCCATGGCTGTAGTCTAGCTTCAACTAACTCATGATCTTAACCATTGAAATTGGTTTTTATTACTTGTAAGTTGACATATAAATATAATGCTTTTTTCAATTGAATGCAATGTGAGTCAACTATATGTAATCAGTGTAGTGTCTTGAAATGAATTATGATCTAGTCAGTATATTTTGTATATATGTTGTTGTCACGTGATAAGATTACTGTTTTCCTTATCAATATTACCTTTTATTTTCCTACGAAAACTTACTTGTTTTCATTATCCCTTATATATACATTTATATATATAGTGCACTAAAAGATGATCCTAAAAAATTGGAAACAGAATTAAAATCAATTGAGAATTCATGGAGTTTACAAAGTATGTTTATCGTTTGTTTTTTGTTTGTTTTTTATTTATTTAGATTTTAAGATGTCGATATCTCGTAAAGTTTTATGTTATTATTCTATAATCATAATAATAATTGTTCATCTATGTATTATTTTATTACTTTTAAAAGAGAAATTGATTTTATTAAGTTATCTCGTAAATCATGGATCAAAAGAACTAGTTAAACGTGTATTACAATATTTACCAGAAGAATTAAGTAAACAACGTGAACCAATGAAATCACTTGCACAAATTATAAAGTGAGTGTATTTTTTTGATTAAGAGAAACAATTAAAAATTTTCTCTATCATACATTTATTGTTCATGATAATTTCATTGAAAATTCCCTCTATTTGACTTGTTCAGTTAGACAACTACAATATAGAACCAGGTGCATAGGTCCAAGTTGCCATACCGCATTAGCACAACAAGATGAACATCGGATTCATAGAAGTAGTTAATTCAATGGTAGTAATATATAAAAGAAAGATTGTGTATAAGGATATGATACATAGAGAAAGGATTAATTCGTAGAAGTAAAGGTATAATGAAAGTTAGAAAGTGTATACACCTACGCCTTTGTGATCGATTATGAATCATACCACTCAGAGACCCCAACCATTGGTTACGATAGTCACACGGACCCCAACCAGGTTGTCTGCATCTACTAACATGGCTAAGACTAGAAGTTATTTACTTCAAGCACTGATGCCACATTTTGGTTTGGCTGACCCTAACTTTCTTCCAACCATTCCCAACACTAGTCAGCATTGCGCGTCGTGGTAATCGGTGTTCAGGCATACGTAAGAACACGTGGATCAACCATCTCAGTCGATGAAGGTTCACAACCTCATCAACTGATTTACCATCATTCCCTAATACCCTACGTCTAACCTCACTATTACTTACCCGGTGATCCCAGTAGATGCGAGAAATATTTCTAAGACATCTGTGATCAAATACTAGTAACTTACGTGTATTTTCCACCCTTAATGAACACGTTTCGCAGCCGTAAAGTAGAACAGAACGAACTGTCGCTCAGTACACTCATTCCATAATTGGTAGACGAATATCTCGCCTTCGCCATAAGTTTCGTAAGTTGGTAAAAGTCAAACGAGGTTTCGTCAGACACCAACTCATTAGAGCTGATCAGACTTCGAAGATAAGTGAAGTTGTCAACGCGTTCGACTACTTCACTCCCTATCCTTAGTTTCAGGTGTTGACGCAGACCAGTCCTGAATCAACAACTTGCATTTAGAGTGAGAAAAACATCCCAAACATTCTGGCAGTGTTGCTAGAATCGGTCATTTAATTTCATAGTAATTGATTTAGTTGTTTTCATTACAAAATAATGTTGTCAAATATTATTCATATAAGTACTTTCAAAATCGTCAACTTCTCTGTCAGTCAGCAACAACGTAGAACTTCGTACGTACATACATCAGTTCAAGTTGCCACATCACATTAACAATTGTCGATTCAGATCCCATAGTGGTAGAGGGAGTAAAACTATAACCTGTAATCGGAAAGATTAGGGTTTGTAGATGTTATGCAAAAAGTATAATGCGGTGGAATAAATTAGAAAAAGAGATAAAAGAAAGGGACATGAATTCCGAACATTAAAATTTAGAACACAAAGAATGGATGCACCTGTTTCATTAGAAATGATTTTAAGCCATGTCATTCAAGATCTCTAACCGTCGGTTGCTATCGTCTCACGGATCCCCCAAATGCCCTGGTACGGCCGCTCTCGAAATGCTCTCATATGGCCGCGTGTATATAACTTCTTCCAGGGAAGTCCTACACACTGCCTTCTCGTGGCAGGGGTGTTGTTTACGAAAATAAGAAGAAAAGCGAATGTCCGGCGCTTTAACCAGATCTCAAACCAATTGTGCACGTGGACTGCCTCCATTATCCTGAAGAAACAAATGGCGTATGAACCAATCGTTGGTCACCAGTTACCATGGGACTGCACCTCCTTACGATGCTCCACTGCCTTGTGGATCAGATTTTCAGGTCGAAGGCTCGGGGTGTGGCCCCCTAAGAAAATCACCTGCTTCGGTTTAGGCACCTGTGTAGTACTACAACTCTCACACAAATCAAATGAGATCTGTGTGGCGCATATGTATTTGTTGCATCCTTGTAGCGATATCTATGTGTTAAAATAATAATAATAATTACCTAACTATTGCACCATCATTCAATAAATGCGTAAAATTTAACAGTATCCTTATATTAGAATTTTCATTTTGTATTCAATCAACATAGACTCTAGATTGTTCTTATTCGTTTAGATTGTCTTTGTTTCTTTTATTAATTTAATTAAACAAATCATATTGTTATTTATCCATGTACAGATCATCCTTGGTAAATGCTAAAGAAGAAGAAGAAGGAGAATCAGAAAGTGTAAAACAATCGATTCAAAATTTACATAATCTTTCATCTAAAGATTTATACTCTGCAATGAGGGGACCACATTTGGATACACTTTTTAGATGTTGGCCAACTGAATATATTTCAGATTGTATGTTATATTTGCATTGATTATTTTCACTTGTAAATTCAATTAGTTTAAGAGTAATCTATATTCACTGTTATAATGTTCTATTAATCTACTTGTTTTCAGTTGATAATGCCTATTTATATATATTGTTAAAATATGCAGACTATCTGGTTGTGGTCCACGTGACTATCGTAACCAACGATTGGAGACTCTTGGTAACATGGCTCAGAATCGGTTACAATCAGTCAGTCAGCTGCAACGTAGGACCAGGCACGTATATGCATCGGTCCAAGTTGCCATACCGCATTAGCACAACAAGATGAACACCAGATTCATAGAAGTAGTTAATTCAGTGGTGGTAATATATAGAAGAAAGAGTGTGTATAAGGATATAGTACAAGAAGATAGAATTAGTTCCTAGAAAGAAAGATTTGAAGTGATTTTAATCTCTTAGTTTAAAGGAAGACAGAGAGTGTATACACCGACGCCATTGTGATCGATTCTGAGCCATGTCACCAAGAGTCTCCAACCATTGGTTACGATAGTCACGCGGACCCCAACCAGGCAATCTGCATCTACCAACATGGCTCTGACCAGAAGTTAGTGACTTCAAGCACTGGTGCCACGTTTTGGTTTGGCCACCCCTAACTTTCTTCCAATCATCCCTAACACCGGTTAGCATTGCGCGTCGTGGTAATCAGTGTTCAGGCATACGCAGCACGTGGCCCAACCATCTCAGTCGATGAAGGTTACAATCGCGTCGGTGTATACACTCTTTGTCTTCCTTTAAACTAAAAGATTAAAGTCGCTTCATATCTTTCTTTCTACCAACTAATACTTTCTTCCTGTACTATCTCCTTATATGCAATCTTTCTTCTATATAATACCACCACTGAATTAACTACTTCTATGAATCCGGTGTTCATCTTGTTGTGCTAATGAGTGAGGTATGAGGTATGGCAACTTGAACCGATGTATATATATGCCTGGTCCTATGTTGCAGCTGACTGACGATACTGTTTAAATCTTGCTTATTTTCTCAGTTTGTTTACGGTTATTAAAGTTAGAGTACATTAGTAAGTATCTGCTAAGTATAATAATCAATAGAAATATATCCTTGACTGTATGCATCAGCTCAAACACTAGTATCGAATTCGTGACTATATATATATATATATATATATATGGGAAAGGGAAAATTACTAGGTAATTACACAAAATCACCTTTAATCATTAGATAATATATTGTATGATTCAATAATGTGAGTTATTATTTACAGGAATCTATTTCTCACTGTTATAATTTAAAAGAACATGGTCAGTTTGTTCAAATAGTCTTAGTTAAATATAACACTTGAACAAGAAAAAATAACATAGATCATAAACTACCACCAACTTTCTTTTATAAATTGACAAATTAGTAAAGAGACTTGTTTATGACAGCTAATTTAACTAAAACCAGGAAGTGTACGGTATGTTTTGTTTTATCACATCATCTGCACTTACCAGTACGATGTACTTCGATGTGCATTCATGTTTGGTAGTTGGGAAAACCAAGATATACTTACACCTGTTACTCTTTCTGAAGCATCATAGTTCTTCTATCAGCACTCTCCGTCCAATCATATCCTGGATAATCTTTGCCAGTTGCTATTCGTTCTTTTCATGTCTGCTTCCACTTCTCGGCGCAGTGTGTTCTTCGGTCTACCTTTTTTCTGTCAAGTGTAAGCATGCCTCGTGATGGCGTTTGGTGATTTCCTTATCCACTTCGAACGTCTTTTATTGATTTCCTCCTCAGCTCAAATTTCGTTTGTTCTTTTCTACAGTAAGCTGTTACTGATTTTATCTGGCCAACAGACATTGAGTATCTTGTGTACACGACCAAGAATGTACCCAAATGCCCTGTTACGGCCGAGAGTGGAGAAATTCCGCTCTCACATGGCCACGCATATATAACCTCTGTCAGGGAAGTCCTACTCACTGCCTTCTCGTGGCAGGGATGTTGTTTACGAAATTGAGTGGACGAAAAGCGAATGTCTGGATCCCAAACCAATGGTTCACATGGACTCCAGTTTCATGCCTGAGGGAACAAATAGCGTATGAACCAATCGTTGGTCACCGACTATCGTGGGACTTCATCTCCACACGATGCTCCATTGCCTTGTAGGTCAGACCTTTAGGTCGAAGGCTTGGGGTGTGGCCCCCTAAGAAAACTACCTGCTTCGGATTGGGCACCCGGGCATTATCACAGCTCACACACAAATAAAATTTTGTGTGACTCATATGTAATTGGTGCCTCCTTGTACCAATATCTATGTGTTAAGATAAATAAATATCTTTGAGAAATTCATGCTTTTTTTTTCAATTTATCAAAACTGGTCATATTTAGTGCTCTATTGAAAAATATTCATATTGTATTTTCTTTTAATTTTTTATCAGTGATTGTTATAACAAAAAAACTTTCCAAACTTGGTCTTAATTCTGTCAATTTACAGTTGGCTGGAGTTTTGATTAATCGTGGACTGAGTGATTCAGTGTCTACTTTGTTAGAGGTAAACATCGTTATACATTTTATGTCGAAAGATAAATGAGAAGTGGGTTCACAAAATCACTTTGTATTGTAGGCAGTTAGTGGCTGGCAACATTGATATTGGAATCCATATATTTTATTTTATTTATTTTTTTTATTTATTTTAACACATAAGTATAGGTACAGGGAGGCACCAAATACGTATGCGCCACACAAATCGCAATTATTTTGTGTGAGGGCTGTGATACTGCTCGGGTGCCCAAACCGAAGCAGGTGGTTTTCTTAGGGGGCCACACCCCGAGCCTTTGACCTGAACGTCTGACCCACAAGGCAGTGGAGCATCGTGAGGAGATGCAGTCCCATGGTAGCCGGTGACCAAAAGTTGGTTCATACGCCATTTGTTCCCGCAGGATACTGGAGCCCATGTGCACCATTGGTTTGGAGTCCGGTTAAAGCGCCAGACATTCGCTTTTCGTCCTCTGATTTTCGTAAACAACACCCGTGGTGCGAGAAGGCAGTGAGTAGGACTTCCCTGACAGAGGCTATATACGCATGGTTATGTGAGAGCATTTCGAGAGGGAGAGCGGACTCTCCCCACTCTCGGCCGTACCAGGGCATATATATACATATAGCCGGATATAACTAAACAAAAACTAATCAATCAGCTTTAAATTTTACTTACTCAAATACTTATACACAACTAGCAGGTCTTGTGAATAAATACGTTTGTTAATACCTCAAATTGGTATGTACACGTAGTTTGCGAATGTGAGTGACAGTACAAAGCATTGTGTTATGAATGGTCATTAATTAGTACGTCGCGATAGTTTATCAATATGGTATATTTTGTTCTAGTTACCTGAAAACATCATCACTTCATGATAGCTCAGTTAGAGTTTATCTACATGAGAATTTTCTTATTCAATACCGTTCTTTAATTAAATATTATCCTGGTAATCCTCTCCTTAGTTATATATGGTACGACATAACAAGAAAAAAATGTAATAAGATTATTAACCTTTTAGACACATGCTTGTCCTGTTAAGAATTATGTGTTACATGTCAACTTCAACTTTTCATGTATTATCTTATTCATTGACGACAAATTTCTACAGAATACATATCAATTGTTATGATATATATCTAGGAGTTATGTTATTGACCTGTCATCCTAACAACAACAACAAAAAATCACAGGAGCAATAAAAAGCCGAATGATAATACTTTCGACACTACCAATAAGTTTTGGTACTTGAATGCAATGTACTAAGCATTTTGTACACTGAATTCATGTGATGTTATCATAATTTTAACAATGAATAATCATCTCTCTTCAATGTTACTTCTCATTTAGAATAATAAAACAGTTCCGTTTACATTCTTGGTTGGCAGTCCACGAAATTCATTGACAAAATCTGAATTTTTGTCTTCAGTCGAGTATATAAAATCTGTTGATTCTCAACATATTCCCGGTTTTATAGATCATTGTCTCCGAAATGCAGGTACTATTTCTAAATAGGATTGTTGTGTTTATTTTGTCATTCTTGTTGTTACGTTACATCGTATATATTTTTCTTTTGAAAAAAAATCAGTAAAATCGTAATTAACATAAGATTGAACATTTTAATGGAGTTTTGTTTTCTGAGCTGGATGATCGTTTGGTCATGGAGCTCTCATCGTTCTTCTCCTGAACGATTTCTTCATCAGCACAAACTTCACATAGAAGTGAATTGTTCGAATATATTCATAAGTTTCTACAAGTAATTGATTACAGAAAATTACTTCTTTAGCTTTCATCACTACATTTTGATCGAACGGTAGAATTAAAATATATGCTATTCGTTACGGTGTATATCTTTTTCACCGGTTATCGAAATTTTAATATCACTAAAGTGAATAGTCGATCAACTGGCTATCGTATATAGATATCTGTCTGTTGCATCATCATTGACCATCTTACTTTAATTCACCACACATATCTATGTCTACAATTAGTATCCACTAATTGTATTCAGTTTCTGTGATTATGTGGAATGATCCCAGTAATCAGTATATAACCGCGATAACACTTAACTAATAGTAATAATATTCAAGCGATTATTACGATCTCATTTATCAACTGTCATTCGAAGATAGATTCTTTAAACTAAATACATAACTATCATTGTTGTTACTTCGGTGTCGACGGTTCAACATATGTCGACATCTTGTATCGTAGTTCAATAAAGCATTTCATTAACTTGAAATCATGCCATTTGAAATAATACATTATTTGTACCCTGACGTTTTTTCTTATATTATTTTAGCTTTGTCAACAAACAATGACAAGTTATACCAGTTAATTCGTACAGTAGTATCACCACCGTTCAATATGGATCTTCTTCAAGTTTGTATACAACCCACTCTACAAGTTTTATGTCATCGTTTGGAAGTGAGCAAAAATGTAAGTCCTGATTTTATGCTTCATTTATCTGAGTTAAAAAAACAACTCATTAGTACCTTTTAAGTAACGTAAGCGTCCATCACGACTTATTGATTGCTATAGATCCAGTCGTTCAAAGGAATTTTTTGTTTGGTCGAATTATCCAATTTGGTAACTGATTAGACAAACTTTTCAAATAATTTATCTGACACCCCAAATGGCCGAGAATGAGGAGAGTCCGCTCTCACATAACCACGCGTATATAGCCTCTGCCAGGTAAGTCCTACTCACTGCCTTCTTGTGGAGGGGGTGTAGTTTACGAAAATGAGAGGACGATAAGCTAATATCCGGCGCTTTTACTGGATCCCAAACCAATGGTGCACATGGACTCCAGTATCCTGCCTGAGGAAACAAATAGCGTATGAACCAATCGTTGGTCACTGGCTACCATGGGACTGCATCTCCTTACGATGCTCCACTGCCTTGTTGATCAGACCTTTAAGTCGAAGTCTCAGGGTGTGATACCTTAAGAAAACCACCTGTTTCGGTTTGGGCACCCGTGCATTATCACACCCCACACACAAAGAAAATTTTGTGTGGTGCATATATATTTGGTGCCTCCTTGTACCAATATTTATGTGTTCAAATAAATAAATAACGTCATAACTTATTTCATTTGTTAAACACAAAAGTACTCTAAATGAACTGTTTTTCCTTCAGCTTCATTGATTTCAGTTGTTAATTTATGAAAAAAGATGGTGTCATTTTCCAAAATAAATCGGTTCAAGTAAATGTCTCAGCATTTTTACTCATACTCTGAGAAGTTATTATTCTTTCTGAGTAGTTGTTTAGCTGTAGTTTCTGGCTAAAATGACCGATTTTACTCTTACTTTATGTAACTGCTGACTATCTCTGTTTTCTATGATCAATCTCAACAACAACAAAAAATGTCTATTCTTATGTTGATTGATTTCTGTCTTGTTTTGTTTTTTTTCATTGTAGTTACCAGAAGATATACGTCAAGCTACTCAATCAGTTGTTGAAAAATTTAGTGCATTAAAAACAAAAGCTTCCAATTGAATCAGAAAGCTTTTGCCTTCCTCATTTCTTTCTTTAAACTGCAAAAGTATAGGTTTCTTTATAAAGGATTTTAATTGTCTTTAGTCATCATCGTGTATAATAAATTATTCAAATCAACTTTTTCAGCTTTTGGTTTGTATTTGATTTATTCATTAGCATAAAGATTAACTAGAGACATTACAATGCACTTTTCATAGAATGAAAAGAGCTATAACATTAAAACCTTCAGAGTTAGAGCTTGTTAGTGAGATAATTACCGAAAAGATACCCTCTCATACAATAAGACATTAATTACTAATATTATATTTTGAGAATGGTTGTGTTTTTTTACGAAAACTTCAAATGAAATATCACTGAGTACACGTGTGTGATACAAAGAATTCCCATATTTTAATGTGGTTACATTTATAGACCTGACCAACCCTTCTCGGAAGTGTTTGTATTATATAGTTCAAAGTCTGAATAAGCTTATACAAACCTGATCTCACTGAGCATATGTTTGTTGACAGTCCCATTAAGTGGCGGTTTGAAATCATGACAGGTTAGAATTATACCGTTATCTTTCCTTTGTCATGATGCTTCTGTCGACTACCAGGGTAGTCCTGCTCACTACTCTCTCGTTATAGCACTATTGTTCACGAAATTGGCAGGACCAGAAGCAAGTGTCCGGCGACTTACCTGTGTTGGCGGGTATGTAGGAGTTGGAAAACGGATTCCAAACCAATCGTGCGCATGGACTTCACGATCTTAAAGGAGCAAGTGGTGTATGAACATATTTTTGGTCGCCGGCTACCATGGGATTGCATCTTCTAACGTTACTGCACTGCCTTGTGATTAGACGGTTAGACCAAAGGCTCCGGATTGGCCCCCTAAGAAGACTATCTACTTCTATTTGGGCACCCGAGCGCTATCTTAGCTCACACAAATCGGATGATTTGTGTAGCGCATAGCTTTTTGCTGCCCCTACGTACTGATTTGTATGTGCTTAAATAAATAATCGGATAGAAAGGGTTTGGCTTGTAATAAGCTACTGAAAAAATTCTTCCTAGTGTTCAAACTTAAGAGTAAATCTCAAGAATCACTGCAGAAGCCAATTGATCAATAGTCATGTTCACCTCATATTCTCCAAGTGGTAGTGTCATTTTCGAGTGCTTTATTCAAAATGTTAAGAACAATCAGTGGATTTCTAGTGTTCACTAAGTTGATGTAGTCAGAAAATTGCTCTTGACCCTTGTAAGTGTTCTAGACCATTGAATTGCATAGAGTTTACCAGAGCTGTTTCCAAGTTCACACTTCATATATTGAATCTAGCAATCGCTAATTTCTAACATTCCTGGACGATCGTCATGAACGATTCAGTACATGTTTACTGAATAACTGTCTAATTTTGCCAAAGTTCTTCGTCAATCACTCCATCAGTAAATTCTCAGAAAGAAGGATAATTTTAACTCTGCTCTGGGAACTTAAGGATGTTTAATTAGGATTTTGATGCCTCATGTAGAAAGCCGAGGTTCTTCGAAAGTCACAATATCTATGCCCCTGAACCGAATGAAATTTCCACTGAACACCCAACTTCGGAAGCAACATACCACATTCCATTAGGATCGGTCGTGCACAGACTAAATCTTCACATTACGTATCATTTCTGAACAGTCAATTGAATGGAACTCGTCACTATACATCCACTTTCTTGACTACGAATCAAAGGCAGCCCTGATGTCAAGAAACACTACGATTGTTGGTTTTTGATAAGTATGACGGTGTTCTAACATTTGGCGGAGGGTGAAGATATGATCAATACATCCTCGAGCAGAACGAAATCCAGCCAGCTCCTCGCAAGTCAATCCTTCTCGGATTTTGAACAACCTACGAAGTATGACGGAAGCCAATAACTTGGACGCAATCGGAAGTAGACTTATCCCACGATAGTTGTTACAGGAACGACGTGAACCCTTTTTAGAGATAGGAACAACTATCGACTCATTCCATGATGTTGGTACACACTCTAGTTCCCAGACCTTTGTAAACAACGTCGTTAGTCCCTTAGTCAGAAAGTCACCACCATCTTTTAAAAGAGCCGGAGGTAAGTCATCTGGGCCCGGTGATTTGTAGCGCTTTGAGAGTTGGAGTTCCTTGCGGACTTCCGCCTCATTTGGTGGATCAGTCGTCACCGGCCATGGAGCGCAGGACAGTCTGACCGATGTTGCCGGAGTAGCAGGCCAGTTGAACTGCCTTCCGAAGAATTCTTGCCATCGTCCAGGACGTCGATGGATGTTAGTGATTGGCGTTCAGTCATTCTCGAAGATTGTTTCGCTCATACTAGACTTCTTGCTGCCAGTGGCTCGGATGAGTTGGAAGAGCTGTCGGTAGTTACCAGATGGAGCCGCTGCTTCCAGATCATTAGCACTCTCCGACCACTAGGTTTCTCGGTCCTTACGCAAGCTTTGCGGTCAGACTCATGGTCACCTGGATTAGACCAAAGGGATTCGATAATAATTTTAACTCTGCTCTGGGAACTTAAGGATGTTTAATTAGGATTTTGATGCCTCATGTAGAAAGCCGAGGTTCTTCGAAAGTCACAATATCTATGCCCCTGAACCGAATGAAATTTCCACTGAACACCCAACTTCGGAAGCAACATACCACATTCCATTAGGATCGGTCGTGCACAGACTAAATCTTCACATTACGTATCATTTCTGAACAGTCAATTGAATGGAACTCGTCACTATACATCCACTTTCTTGACTACGAATCAAAGGCAGCCCTGATGTCAAGAAACACTACGATTGTTGGTTTTTGATAAGTATGACGGTGTTCTAACATTTGGCGGAGGGTGAAGATATGATCAATACATCCTCGAGCAGAACGAAATCCAGCCAGCTCCTCGCAAGTCAATCCTTCTCGGATTTTGAACAACCTACGAAGTATGACGGAAGCCAATAACTTGGACGCAATCGGAAGTAGACTTATCCCACGATAGTTGTTACAGGAACGACGTGAACCCTTTTTAGAGATTGGAACAACTATCGACTCATTCCATGATGTTGGTACACACTCTAGTTCCCAGACCTTTGTAAACAACGTCGTTAGTCCCTTAGTCAGAAAGTCACCACCATCTTTTAAAAGAGCGGGAGGTAAGTCATCTGGGCCCGGTGATTTGTAGCGCTTTGAGAGTTGGAGTTCCTTGCGGACTTCCGCCTCATTTGGTGGATCAGTCGTCACCGGCCATGGAGCGCAGGACAGTCTGACCGATGTTGCCGGAGTAGCAGGCCAGTTGAACTGCCTTCCGAATAATTCTTGCCATCGTCCAAGACGTCGATGGATGTTAGTGATTGGCGTTCAGTCATTCTCGAAGATTGTTTCGCTCATACTAGACTTCTTGCTGCCAGTGGCTCGGATGAGTTGGAAGAGCTGTCGGTAGTTACCAGATGGAGCCGCTGCTTCCAGATCATTAGCACTCTCCGACCACTAGGTTTCTCGGTCCTTACGCAAGCTTTGCGGTCAGACTCATGGTCACCTGGATTAGACCAAAGGGATTCGATAATAATTTTAACTCTGCTCTGGGAACTTAAGGATGTTTAATTAGGATTTTGATGCCTCATGTAGAAAGCCGAGGTTCTTCGAAAGTCACAATATCTATGCCCCTGAACCGAATGAAATTTCCACTGAACACCCAACTTCGGAAGCAACATACCACATTCCATTAGGATCGGTCGTGCACAGACTAAATCTTCACATTACGTATCATTTCTGAACAGTCAATTGAATGGAACTCGTCACTATACATCCACTTTCTTGACTACGAATCAAAGGCAGCCCTGATGTCAAGAAACACTACGATTGTTGGTTTTTGATAAGTATGACGGTGTTCTAACATTTGGCGGAGGGTGAAGATATGATCAATACATCCTCGAGCAGAACGAAATCCAGCCAGCTCCTCGCAAGTCAATCCTTCTCGGATTTTGAACAACCTACGAAGTATGACGGAAGCCAATAACTTGGACGCAATCGGAAGTAGACTTATCCCACGATAGTTGTTACAGGAACGACGTGAACCCTTTTTAGAGATTGGAACAACTATCGACTCATTCCATGATGTTGGTACACACTCTAGTTCCCAGACCTTTGTAAACAACGTCGTTAGTCCCTTAGTCAGAAAGTCACCACCATCTTTTAAAAGAGCCGGAGGTAAGTCATCTGGGCCCGGTGATTTGTAGCGCTTTGAGAGTTGGAGTTCCTTGCGGACTTCCGCCTCATTTGGTGGATCAGTCGTCACCGGCCATGGAGCGCAGGACAGTCTGACCGATGTTGCCGGAGTAGCAGGCCAGTTGAACTGCCTTCCGAAGAATTCTTGCCATCGTCCAAGACGTCGATGGATGTTAGTGATTGGCGTTCAGTCATTCTCGAAGATTGTTTCGCTCATACTAGACTTCTTGCTGCCAGTGGCTCGGATGAGTTGGAAGAGCTGTCGGTAGTTACCAGATGGAGCCGCTGCTTCCAGATCATTAGCACTCTCCGACCACTAGGTTTCTCGGTCCTTACGCAAGCTTTGCGGTCAGACTCATGGTCACCTGGATTAGACCAAAGGGATTCGATAATAATTTTAACTCTGCTCTGGGAACTTAAGGATGTTTAATTAGGATTTTGATGCCTCATGTAGAAAGCCGAGGTTCTTCGAAAGTCACAATATCTATGCCCCTGAACCGAATGAAATTTCCACTGAACACCCAACTTCGGAAGCAACATACCACATTCCATTAGGATCGGTCGTGCACAGACTAAATCTTCACATTACGTATCATTTCTGAACAGTCAATTGAATGGAACTCGTCACTATACATCCACTTTCTTGACTACGAATCAAAGGCAGCCCTGATGTCAAGAAACACTACGATTGTTGGTTTTTGATAAGTATGACGGTGTTCTAACATTTGGCGGAGGGTGAAGATATGATCAATACATCCTCGAGCAGAACGAAATCCAGCCAGCTCCTCGCAAGTCAATCCTTCTCGGATTTTGAACAACCTACGAAGTATGACGGAAGCCAATAACTTGGACGCAATCGGAAGTAGACTTATCCCACGATAGTTGTTACAGGAACGACGTGAACCCT